GACCAAGTTTCTTACAATGTTCACATAATCAATGATTCTTCTTTGGCTTTCAATCAAGGAAGGAGTTGTGTGTACAAAGCTAAGTATTCAACGTCAGATGAGCCAACACTTCCTGTCGTCATGAACTTTTTCCTACTTTCTTCTAGCTAACTTCAGAAAAAGCTTCCCTAGTGGTATGAAAAGGATTCATCTCCATGATTCTTCCTCTGACCTCATCTAAATTCTCATTTAAACCAAGTAATAATTTTATCATCTTCTTCTCCAGAATAGTTTTATTCATCATAGCATCTTGAGGGCACTTCCATGGATATGTATCATGCATATGTAACTAAAATCAGTATCTTGAGAGTGTGTTGAAGTATTATGTAACATTCAACTGTTCTTGTTAATCTCAAACAATTTTGTAGTGTTTTGGTACTAGAATTTCTCACAAGTTGCTTCCCAAATCTCCGCGTTATCCTGTAAAGCAAAAAAAATTCTCCAACTTTTGTGGTCATAGAACTGATCAATCAAGACATTACCATATGATTGTGGAACTTGCATGAGCGATGGTAAAGATCAGTGAGCTCAGAAATTTAAGTATATTATGAGATGAGAAAATAAAATCCTTCGTAGTGCAGATTTCCCACACCAAAGAAATTCCAAGAGCTTAATGAATAAAGCATATATATATATATATATATATATATATATTACACCCATAAAACAAAGAGTGATTATTTGATATGTAATTTTAATATCTATGATAATTACACTTTCCAAGAAATATTATTAGACAATATCAACGTATCAATGTGTAACATCAAAAGCATCTTAGATTTATCATGTAAAAGAATGTATTTATAAATGAGAAAACAACTTATAGATTTAAATTTAGTAAATTAAAATGGAGAAGTACCTACAAAGAATATTATGTGTTAAAACAACAAAATAAAGACTAAAAGACGAGTTTAAATCATTTATGCATGAATCTAAGTTTTAGAAAAAAAAGCTCTAAGAATGTTAAATGAATGTTGGGCAAAACTAAGAAGGGTAAATTAACAAATGGTTATATTAAAAGAATGTTGAAGTGGCATTTATTAAAAATAAATGCAAAGGCTATATCATTTGGACATTTACAATAAATGCATAAAAACAAACCCGTAAAATGAGTAAAAAAAATTAGTGTTAAAAAATTAGGATAGAGAAATAGTGAACCTAATAAGAAGAATAAGCTGTTCAAAATAATTCGAAGAGAATGGGTCCTAGTTCTCAAACAATACTCAACAAGAGCAAAAAAAAAGATGAGAATTCATTAACAAAATCTCAAATATTTGAGATAAGGCTGATGATGATGAAGTATTGTAGATATCACTTGTATGATCAATTTAGTGAAATTTGGATAAAGATAGTGTAGTGTGTGAAGGTGTGCAAATATTTTCTAAGATTTCAAATTTTATTGGCAAAACATTATTTTTTAGAGATTATTTTATTACTCATATCTATTTTATTAAAAATTTTAAGCTATAATTACAATAAATGAGGCTTGCCACACAGCTTCAGAATTGCAAAAATATTTTACTTATCCACTTGTTAGGACTTCACATATTTGTTTAATAAATTTAAGGAAAAAAATGTATCCCACATTTAAAGCTTCTCAAATCGGGAGTATTATATTGGCTCAAATCTAATCTTATCGAAGAAAAAATAATTCATGATATTCTTTAAGAGATGAAATTGATGACTAAAATTTTATAGCTGCAACATGATTCAACATCTAATTTCTTTTATTTAAAACTAAATTTGAATTTGCCACAAAAACCCACCTTATGATAAACCATAATAAATATTAGAGTCAACATTAGATCCTACAAATACAAGTAAACCTAAAATTGAGTAGAAGTTAAAGTTCAAATCTAAAATTCAAAATGAAATTATATCATAACATCAACTAAAATTAGAATCAAAACGTATATCTAACTTTAAAACTGAATAGCTCATATGGGTTGATTATGGTGAACCAATTAAACAGTTTTATAAAATAACTCCCAATGAAAAACTATCATATGCTTACTATTCAATAAGGCATCAATTTTATTTTGGTTCTTGGTTTCTTTATATACAAATTCATTTAAAAAATTATCAAAAAAGCTAGATTGCACCAACATTTTCAATAGATTTATTCATAAAAGCTTCTTTTAATAAAATAACTCCCAATGAGTAGTCAATTGAAACTATCCTATGCTAACCAATCAAACGAACATCAAATTTGTTTTTGGTTTTTGATTTATTAATTTACAAATTCATAAAAAGAAAATATAAAGAATTAAAAAAAAACTTAGGCAACAAAGTTAAACTGCATCACATGCCCAACAGTTTATTCAAAATAAGTCTTTTAGAAAAAGCAAAACTATAAAAGTGCATCGGTTTGGTAGTATCCAAAGATACAAAATCCATCATGACTACTCGATTACTCTTCAAACTGTTTGGCTTATATTTCTTTAATCGTTCACACATGAAAAGCATCCTCTATTTGAATCAAACTTATCTACATAGTTTGCCACTTACCATATAAAAACTTAATGAAATATATTACATATAAATGTACTTCATAATTTTTCTCACTTTGAGTTGTTTATAGTATATCCATTAGCAAATCCAACATATATTACATCCCATTGCAAAACAGATTACTGTTATGCATGATTTCCATGAAGATAATTGATGGAGATTATTCTTAACTATAAAAAATATAAACCTACTAAAGGGTATAGGATTTTAAAAAGTGAGAAAACATGGTTTCAATTAGTAAATATTTCACTAACCAACAAGGATCCATTCTCAAGAAAAGGCAGAGGTAGTTCTAATGATTTCCCCCTACAACTGAAGATTGTGAACTTGTAGCAAATAGTTGGATGTTATGTTCGTGATCACCTCAGTTGGTCTTTGGTGTTTTGGCACTTCTAGGGATTCTTGATTGAAGGATTTGAAATATGTAAAACAAATAATCAATTATAAATAAAACACTGCTTTAGATATGTAAATACTTCTCATTTTGGCATTGTGGCCTTTATCAAGTACAGGACTTGAAATTTTAGGGGGGCCATCTTCTTTTTACAAACACAAGGCATTCTTCTCTTCAATTTTTCTCCCTCCTAATTTTTTTTTCCCTCCTATGATTTTTTGTTATTGGTTGAAAGAGCAATTCTACTATTCATATTTGTTAAAATTTGAAATTGCATGAAATTTCAATCATGCACATGGCTTTTGAGATACTTAATTTGCTAGCATACGGCCATTATAGATCTTCCTTCTCAATAGAATTTTATCAATTTTTTTAGTTTTCATTGTAAGTGGTACATGGTTATTTTGGGTTAATAGCTTGCAGCGTACAAATTTTGTGTTGCATCAACACTGCTTGTTAGATCCATATTAGAAGCCCTAGACTCTATGCACCTTACAGCAAAATGTTCTTCGGAACTTCCAGATTTATTCAATAAAATTTTAATATACTAAAATGCCCAAGGATGGCTAAAAAAAAAAATTATTATATAAATCTCTAAAACATATCAATTCAATCAATGATAAAACTCCTGATTCACAAGAACTTCCTAAATAGCAACATTTAAGAAGGACTCAATTTCAAAACTTGTACTCAAGAAATTAATATTCTCCATAATATGAATTGTGAACCTTAATCCATAAAGTTTAGAGAATCAACAATTGCAGCTGAAATTGTAATTTTTCCATATGTATTTTAAATAAAATTCTGATGTCACCAATCGAAAATAAAGACAAAATAATGTGTAAAATCATATTAGATCTCTACTCCCTAGAAATTAACCCCCATAGCGCATCCAACCCTTACCCAAAAAAAAAAAAAAAATCAAAATGCACTGATAACTAAACTAATGTGCAAATTCATATTCCTAGCACCACAATGAGACGATTATCTACTACCCCTCCCCCACTAATAAATTTAACAAAAAAGCTGAATAGTCTTCTGCAATTTGAATTATTTATTTCTTCTGTATGAAAAGATGCTTTTATTTCTTCTGAATTAGATGATCCGATTAGGAGAGTAGATGTTTTTAAATTCGACTTGTGTTAAGAAAAGCAGAGGTAGACCTAGGAAGACTTGGGCTTATTGTATTAAAAATGATCTTAATTTACTAGAACTAAATGAAAATATGATACTAAATAGGACGCAATGGAGAAAAAGGATTAATGTAGCCGACCCCACATAGTGGGATTAAGGCTTTGTTGTTGTTGTTGTTGTTCTGTATGAAAAGATGCGATTTCAAAAGCACTACAAAAAAAAATTATGGATGAACTTGTCAAACTTGGGTTGAAGGGTTTAGCATGGTCTATTTCTCATTAGCATACTCTTCTCCTGCCCCCATTCAATTAGTACTTATTCTCTACCATCACTGTATTTGATAAAAATAATTACTCATACAATGCATGATATTACCAAGAAAAATGTCAACAAAAACGAATTCTTGCTATCAAAGGATGAGCCATTATCCTTTCCCTATCTACCGAGGAAAAACTTATCTAACTATGATTCAGGGGGTTTGGAAGTCTCCATTTCTCCAATATCTCACTCTTCTCCTAACCATGTAAGATTCTTTCTTATTTTCCGCAATAACTGCGCGCAAAAATAAGTACCCATCCAATGAATGACATTTATAGGTATAATATTTGCCTAAAAAGAAGTTCTACCATCAAGGAACATGCATTTTCCTCCCTCCACAACCCCACTACATGCTACCTCACTCTCTCACACACAGTTCCCTCAATAGTGTTTACATGTCTATTGAATGAACAAAAACAAGGAGAATGAAGAAACTAAAGCTCCTAAACGATGTTTCAAAAAGATCAGAGCACTGCATCTAAAGCCATACCATACTAAGGCTATATGTATGTGTATTTTGTAATTAATCAGATGTACTAAGCAAACATAATGACATCTTTCATTCTCTATATATATAGCTTAACAGGAAAGTTCTTCCACTCACCGAGGGTCTTCCTCAAGTCTTTCTGAAGGAAGTAGCAGCATAAAATTACGAAAATGGCTGTAGGAAATAGATTCACCAGTATCTGCATTTAGATAACGCATCATAGCAATAGCATTAGCTTCATCATCTGGGAGTCCAGCACTTTTGAGTGATGTCAATATTTGATTTTTCTGAAGCGTTCCGGACTTGCTCAAACACAACGTTGTATAAGCTCGGAGAATTGTAGGCTCCTTCTGCTCCATGAAAGATAGAAATTGTTTCCACCCAATTGATTTTGAAAATAAGTTACTTCTAGTATGGCGCAAGAAATCCCTTGCATATCTCCTAGGCAATTTTCTTCTTCTCATTGCAATTTCGAGGTCTTCTAATGTTACTTGGCCATCACCATCCCTATCCAACTCCTCAAAAAGCCGCTTTCCTATATCACAATATAATTAAAAGGAATTGACAAAATCGTTCAAAGAAGGTCAATAAACTGCCTAAACATTCCAAAAAAGAAAAGCATTAAGAATATGGTATAAAAATATATAATAAGGAAATCATTAACATCTCAATACTCCCAAAAAAAGGATAAATGAGTTAGTTGCTAAAAAGAAAAATAAAACAAAATAAGCCCATGGAAGAAAACAGACAAAGAAAAAAAGATAGTAGGCATGGAATCTTCTAAATTTCCTATTATTATAAACTGTGATGCAGGATTATAAATAACATTTACCAAATAGAATAAAGACTTGAGCATCAGGTTCCAAGCGGAACATGAATGCAAAATTATGAAACAATGTGAGGTATTGTAGCTTGTTTTCATTACTTAATATTTCAAACTAATATCTTGGCGTCTAAATAATCAAGGTTTGGATAGAAATGAATGAAATTGGAATAGGAACAACTCAATGATGTCAAATGTGACTTTCACGTTTGAATGACCAATAGAAAATTCACAGCCAAATGGAAGGAAGGATGGACATTGATGAAAACAGGCACCTTGGATGAAAAATAATTAAGAGTGCTCCTCCAACATACTCATAATTATGTTCGAAGGCACCAATTAGAAAGTCTAATCTGAACAAATCTTGCCTAATGTATGAAGGAAACACAAATATGTCCTACTATTTCAACTACTTGAGGTGTAAACAACAAAATCTAACCTTATTAAAATTCACAAAAGAAGCCATTTTTATTTTTTAAGCAAATCTCTCACTATTCTGGCACTTATCTGCTGTGATCTTAAAAACATGTCCAAATATTCTCCTATTCACCAGGTTTAAATTAGAATTAAAGCATGCAAAAGTCACAATTTTTTTTGCCTTTAAGCCAACCAACAGAGGGGAATATGTTGAAAAATTGTTTTTCTTTTAGCTATAAAGCAAAATGACACAAAAAAATAAAAAGAAAGTCCATATTTTCAAGAGACATCAGTTTGTTTTGGAAAACGTAACAATCAATAATTAAGTTTTGATTTATTGTTATAAATCCGTACTCATAAATATATAAATTTAAATCCGCAAAAGTTCATGTAGTTCGACAATAGAATAAATTCTAACAAAGGTTATGAGTTATGTTTAAATCTCTGACACAGGACTGACGAATTTTATGTCTATATAAATACCTGCAGCGATTGTAATATTATGCAAGTACAAGGCTAATTAATTTAAGGTGCATATCAATTTTAGACAAAGATTTTCAGCAGCAATTTTAGGCGTGTGAAGTATTCCTGTAAGAAAAAATTACGAACAGACTGACGACTACTTTCCACCGCCCTATTTCCACTTGGGAGATTCAGCATGCACAATCAAGCATGTCGACTTCAAATTCATGCTCCACAGTGATGCTTAGCTGGATTAGATTTATTGATGGAAAAACAAACAGTGCAGTAAATTGTACCTTCAGCTTCGGTGTACCGAAAGAAGTCCTGCACTGAAAATAGTTTCTTCTTACTGGGATGTTCTTGAGAGGACTTTCCCAAGTGAGATACGAACTCAATGAGCTCTGTCAAAGAAACAGTTGAGAGTATAGAACGCAGGCGCTCAACATTGGACAAAGGAATGTTCAACAATTTGCTCGCAAGTTTCTGTGCAGGATTAAGCCCTGATTCGTCTTTACAAACAGCGTCCTCCTTGCCATAATCAGCTGCAGGGTCCTTGCCCTCATCATCAGCAGAACCAGCAGTTCCTACCGAACTCTCCGATGCCCCTCCCAACTTCGCAAAGCCCACATTTGAAAGAAAACCATTAACACTTGCCCTCCTCCTTTTGACAATGTCTGATATTGTCTTCATATGATCGATCATTGCAATAGCCGGAATGGCAACCGGATTTCTCGACTTATCCCGATCAAAAATCTCTTCAAGATTCTGGATTAAATTCTCAAACGCATAGCAGATCAACAGTCCCGATGGCAAATCGCAGTCCTGCGGGAGGCATAACTCTTTCCTTTTAACTTCCAAACAAAAAGGATTAGAGAAGAGCTCGCCATCCGCTTGATTGCATGATTTCCGAAAGCATTTCTTAACGCATTTAAGTGAGTTCGGAAAAACCTGCACGAAGTTGCTAACCAAGATAGACCATGCCCCAGCGAAGTTCAGGCAGTTTAAGCAAGATCCATCATTTTGTACTTTCACCCTTGCCCCTCTATTCTTCGCAGGAGGATTCGGGAAAAGAGCTCCAATGATAGACTTCATCGGTATCTTCCCCAAAAATAATCCTTTCTTCCTATCGTCACTAACTGCCGGAGACACCACAGCCGTTTCCTGGCAAGCCCTTTTCTTCGCCTGGCCATTAAATCTGCCAGTAAATCCACTCTCATTTACCATTTTTCTCGAATCCATCCAATGAGACTCGAGATCCTTGGCTGCGCGCGAAATCCCGCACTCGAGCGGAGAGACAGCGTCTCTCATCACGCGGAAGAGGTAATCCACTGGATCGGCACCGGAATCCATTGCCGGAGGTTAGATAGTCTGAGATAAGGCAATATAAAGGCAAGGAAGAAGAAATCGCATCACGAAATCGAGAATCGACCGAAGGGGCAACCTTGGAGAAGGGAAGCGGCGCTTGCAAGGGGCGGTACGTAGGCTCCCCGTGGATTGGGGATTGGGTCTTTCGCTCTGCGGTGGCGCTTTTGCGACTTAAGAGTATTTAACCAAATTCAAAATTAAATAGATTATGTTTGATTTTAAGGAAATATATTTTAAGTTTTATTTTAGATCGAAATATTCTTATTATGCTTAAAATGACTGGCTTTGCACATGTCCAATTTTGACTTTTTGGGGTTTAATATTTCTTTGCTCGAGGTGATAAGAAGATAAAGTTTAGGAAAATTTATCCACGAATCAATTCTTATGTACTTAAAAGGCACATTTATGTATTTTAGGATTGTGGCAGCATGAATCTCGAGGCAAAACATGTGTAAATGACAAATGAGGTGGACCCGCAGTCAAATTATATCAAGATCAGTCAACAATCTAATTTACTTTATCCAGAAGGAAGATCAATGCCAAAGTCGTGGAGAGCATCTCAGAACTCTGTTAGGTCATTCGTCTAGTTGATGGGCCGACCGAGATGGTGACTGAATAAAGGACAACCACGAAAATAGCTGAATAAAAGATACTCGAATGAAGAACGATCTACCACTAAGTGAACAAAGAAAACAAACTAGAGTATAAGGGGTAGTTGATGCACCTTAAAATTACATAATTTAAACATACATTTAATGCTCATTTTTTGTACATTTTTTATGATATTGCGCTTTAATGAAAGATATTTTGCATGTTTTGGTTTCATGTACAAGAAAAGAATTTTTTAAAAAAATGGAAAAAAAATGGTGCAATTTGGAGTCAAATCCAGTAAGGAAGAAAATTTTGATCTGACTCATTTTGTTGGAGCAAAATTAGAGCTGAAACGGAGTGAAACGAGGCAAATTGGAGCCTCCCCAACATTTGAATTGGCATCATAGCGCTAGTCACATTAAAAAATAGCTGACATAGTGCCAATAACTGTTTCAAACAGTTATGGCTCGATTTGGGGAGTTATTAAGCACCATTTGGCACTTAGGAAGGCACCTTTTGGCTTTTCAAACTCTTAGAACTTCCAAGAATGTCTAGAGTTTGTAGATAGGAGTAGGAATGTAGATTTATGTCTTTTCTCTAGAGATTGGTGAGGGATTTTGAGAGATATATGAAAGGAATTGTAGGAACTTTTTGTGTATCAACAGAAGACTTTGTTAGAGGAATTTTCATCTTTCTTTCAGGGGAAAAAATTAAGTATTGTGTTTTTCATTATATTATAATTATTGTAAACATTTTCTAGTGAATTTTCTTTGATTTAAACAAAGTTTTATGTTGTGTTTTCTCCATTCTTAGTGAGTAATTGTGATGTGATTCGATTGGTTTGAAATTTTCTTTTATTCCAAATTTGTGATGGTATTTTCATCGGTTCTTAAATTACTTTGCAAATTGATCACTTGTGACATTAAAATCTGTTATAAAACATAATGACTCCGGAGGGCTGTGACTTCACCTAATTTGTTCCAACTTATGTAAATGCTCAGAAGGGGTAAAGAATATGTATGCTCATATTTGTCACAATACATCATTTAAACCTTTAAACATTTTGATCCTACATTGATTATACGTTGATTTTGATCTCATTGCAAGGAGACATTGATTTTAATTATATAAGAACTTTTCAAAATTTATCTAGTCTCCTTAGATTTGGTTTTTAGTTAATTTAGTTAACTTTAATTTATAGTAAATTAGAAAATTTAGGAAAACCAAACTTTTTTAAAATTAAAAACTAAAACATGATACTAGTAGACTAGAATTAGCCTAAGGAATTTCTTACCTCGCTTCTCTGTGGAATTGATACTAGGGTTTTTAAAAAAAAACTTTATATTACTTGAAACGATATGTATACTTGTGTAGTACCCAAGTGTGTAAACTCTTAATAAAAAATTCTAAATTTTATAACATATCAATTTTGCACACTAACCACTAAATATAAAATAGGTCAAGTTTTTGTGATTTTTTTGGAAGCTAAATTACAGTGTAATTGCGAGTCGAATCAATAGTCATAAACAAACCAGACAAGAACCTCATATTACCTCCCACATCGTTCGACCTGTCACTTTCAAATGAATAAATGTGGGCCAACGAGTGAAATAATATTTTTGTCTGCCAACAAATTATTTATCAACATATTTAAATGTATTGTATAAATGACTTTAGTACTCCCAAGTTTCTTTGTATAGGGAGGGGGCAAAAAGGTAATTATGTATTCAAGGTGACTCTTATACCTATAAATAGGAGAACAGTTCATGAATAAAAACTCTAGAAAGTCTTATTTTTATTGTTTATCTCTTCTTTTACTCATTCTCCTCTTCCTTGCACGCTCTATTCCTTGGGTGTGATTTCCAGACAATTCTAGATTCGACTTCTTAAAAAGTGTGGTGAGCATGGAATCAACAGTAAATCAACCGTTCAAGAGGCACAGAGCTAAGCATTAGATGTAGCTAACATAAGGAAGATTGTGTAGCAGCAAGTAATAGAAATAAAGGAACATTGATGCTAAAAATGAGAGGACATGTGATAGGAACTTCTCAAGCCACCAAGGGCTTGATTGCTAGGATGGGCCAACGAACAACGATAAACAAGATGGGACTGATACCCAACAATAAAAAATCCCAACCAATTGAAGAAAATGGTGACGATTTTCATTACCAGGATAGCATTGAATCGGCCCAGCTGGAAAACACCTCTCCGTACGAACCTCAACCCTCTGAAATGTTGAAAATGCCTTCTCTCGGCAAATTACTAAAGCTGAACCCCAGGAAAATTCAAAACCCCCAAACCTGATTAATATAAGGGTTACACCAACTCAACAAATAATGTAGCCGCTTTCGAGTCAGCCGTAAGAATATTGAAAATCACTAATGCATTCAAGTGCTGCTTATTCCTTACAACACAGAGCGAGTTAGTCGTCTAGTGGTTCAATGTCCTTTAGATGAAAGTCGTCCCCTGTCTCGTCTAATTCAATAGGTTATTTGTGGTCCATTTTGTGAAAGTGGAAAGCGGTAGAAGAAGTCCCAAGCTCTCCTACATATCAAACAAAAGAAGGGAGATACTCTTTGTTCATTCATCATAAGGTTCCAGTGGAAAATGCTATAGATTCAGAACCTAGACCCCCTTATCGCACAAACCGCCCGATGCAGGGAGTAAAAAGCAAGCGTTTCAAGTATGCTCTAGGACTATGTAAGCCAGATTGCTTGGAGAGAAGTTTAAGATAAGTATTTGTACTTATATTTAAGATTTGTCTTGTAAACTTGATTTATATATATATGATGTTTTGTTTTGTTATCCCCATGATTTTTTAGTAGTTTTTTTTTTCTTTCACCTTACAATAAGAAGTAATGATTTGTTGGATTAGAATGTTTTAAAGGTTTCTTTTATCCAAACAATTTGTGATGGTATTTTCACTGGTTCTTCATTTACTTTACAAACTAGTCATTTGTGATGTTAAACCCCATTATAAAATAAAATAACCTGGGAGGGCTATGATTTCACCAACTAGTGAGTACCACACTAAATCTTAAAGGATGGGGATGTCAAATCTAGGAGGAGCAAATAGATAGGGAGATAAGTTTTGATGGGCATAAAATTGGTGTTTCTAGGGTGACAGGCTAAATCCTTTACCAATTTAGTATATTGTTGGAACTAAGGGTCTCTGGTAGATCCTATAGAGAGAGCACAATGGGTAACCTAGAAGTGAGAGGCTAGAATCTACTCAACACTACCAAACAAGTTGGAACTAACTTTAGATTAGCCAATGTTCTTTATGCTCGGAAAGGGGTAAAGAATGGGTATGCTTCTATTTGTCACAATACCTCATTTTCATCTTTAATCAAAATTTGAAATCCTATAATGATAATGAATTATTGGCAAGGAGAAAGTCTCTTTTTATATATTGAATCGTACTTCTTTAAACATTTTTAATCTAGAGACTTTGCCTTTAATTTTAGTAGATGTGGCCACTTTAGTAACACCCTTTTACAAACAGTTTGATATTATTCTCCTGCAAATTTAGTTTACAGTTAAAGTAAAAATATTCTAAGTTAACATAGTAAAATCCTTATTTCCCTGTGGGTTCGATATTGAGGTTTTTATAGAAAATTCTATATTATTTGAAATAATATGTATACTTGCATAATATCGTAGTGTGTAAATCATTAATCAATTTAATTGAACATTTATTTTGCGCACTGGCTACTTGATATAAATTGGGTCAACATTTGAACCATCTTTTTTGACTTAAATAATTACATAATTGCGGGGCGTCGTTGTCGAGGATATAACAAAATTTTCATACATAGAAATTTTAATTTTCTATTTGATTGTGTATTTGTTCTGGGAGAATTGTACTTTATTTTATAGTTATTTATTTACATTATAAAAATATTAAAACACAAAAAATATAAAATATAAAAAATTTGAAGAAAAAAAAATAATAACAAAAATATTTTTTTAAGTGTTTTATTTTATTTTTTTCTAAAATTTAAATTATGCATGTGTAAATCGGAATTTGAAGGTTTAGTGCCATATGATTTTGAGTTGGAATGAACTATTATAAAACTTCAAAAACAAAAAGAACTTCAGATTTTTCAAGAAATAGCAAACACATCGCAACATCACTTAATTAGCCAAACTATTGAAAATGAAAATCATGATTTACATCGATCTTTATGGGACTATGCAAACCTTACAGTAGATGAAATCCACTCAATTATACAAACCCCCGCCATAGCGGCTAACTAATTTGAACTTAGGCCTGTTATTATACAAATGATACAAAATAATCATTTTGGGGGAACACCATCTGAGGATCCAAACTTAGACCATGCAAACTGTTAGAATTGTGTGCTACATTTAATATGATGACGTATTAACTGACACGGTTAGACTTAGACTTTTTTCTTTTTTTCTTAAGGATAAAGCTAAGATGTGATTAAATTCATTAGCATCTAGATCTATTAGAACTTGGGGGAATTTAGCACAAAAATTCTTGGTTAAGTTTTCTCACCTTAAAAAACTGTTAAGCTTAGAAACGATATTA